CAGTGGTTGCCGAGGGCCGGAGCCGGCTGCTGCAGGCCGGCTTCCAGGAGCTGAAGGAGACCGAGCACTGGGACATCCAGCCCGCGCACAAGGTGGGTGAGGGCAGCACTGCCCCGCGCGGGGCTCTGTGCCCCCAGCAGCACAGCGCGGCCTTGTTGCTGCTGCTCCCCTGCTGTGACCCTGCTGGGGACACCGAGACAGGAGTGTGCCTGAGGGCCTGGCTGTTTTCCCCTCTGCCCTCAGTACTTTGTGACCAGGAACTACTCCACGCTCATCGCTTTTGCCGTCGGAGGCCAGTTCCAGCCGGGCAATGGGTTCAGCCTGCTCGGGGCGCACACCGACAGCCCCTGCCTCAGGGTAAGCACCGCTGGCGGGGCACCTTCCCTGGGCACGGACGGCCCTGCCGGCAGCACCAACACTTCTGTTCTCACCCAGGTGAAGCGCCGCTCCAAGCGGGGGCAGGTGGGCACCGTGCAGGTTGGTGTGGAGACCTACGGAGGGGGCATCTGGAACACCTGGTTTGACCGTGATCTCACTGTGGCTGGGAGGGTGATCGTAAAGGTGAGTCTGACCTGGGCTGTGGGGTACCAGGTCTATGAGTTGCTCTTTGAGCTCTCTGCTGTGCACTGGGTGGGGAACTGGTGCTAGAGCTGTTGCTGTGGCTGTGTGTCCTGTACTCTGTGCTTGTGCCTGGCCATGGCCCTGGGTCTTTGAGACTGTTTTTGCCAGCAAATTGCCAGAACCTCCCCATCACTTCGCCAGGTTTGTCTCCAGCCATCCCTTCTGCCGGTCTTTGCGCCCATCACCATTGATGCCTGTTGTTAAAATCACACTCCTTGGGTGGCTGTTTGAGGCAGCCTCAGCCTTGTCTTGATCCATACACAGTATAGCCCATGCTCCAGCCCACCTCCAGCTGACGTTAATTCCTTCACTCAGCACAAGGGAATGGTGGAGACCAGGGATCAGACCCATTATGGCCCTTCCATATCTGTGACAGTGGCACCGGAGCAGCCCTGCTGCAGGGCGGATATAGTGTGGACTCTGCAGGCACCTCTATGTCCCACAGATGTGTCCCGGTTATCCTGCTCAGCAGTGCTCCTTGCGTTTCAGGACCCAACCACAGGACGCCTGCAGCAGCACCTGGTGTATGTGGAGCGGCCCATCCTCCGCATTCCCCATCTGGCCATTCACCTGCAGCGTAGCATCAACGAGAGCTTCGGGCCCAACACCGAGCACCACCTGTAAGGCCTGGCTTGACCTGGTCCCCTGGCCAGCCCTGCAGAGGGCCAGGGCCCAGCTGGAGCCGTGCCCAGCTCCGGCTCTGGCCCTTTGGCAGTGAGTTGTGATGAGCCTGTCTGCAACGGCTGTTCTCAATCCATTAGTGCCCCTAGGACACGCTACCAAGATGGGGGCTGGGGGGAAGATGCTGAGGCGCCCTGGAGTGGCTTACAAGGGATTTATGCTGTGAATGGGTTGTGTCCTTGCCATGTTCAGCGTGGCAGTTAGTCGCTGGGGATGCCCCAGGAGGGCTCTGCGTACGACTCATGTGGGAGAGGTGAGCATCGCCCTGGGGTCTAACAGCCCTGTCTCCCCACAGCGTTCCCATTCTGGCCACTGCTGTGCAGGAGGAGCTCGAAAAGGAGGTGCTCGTGGAGGGTGATGCTGCAGCCCAGGTGAGCTGGGCAATGAGGGTTAACAGGACAGTCACTAAGACCTCACACTTGCCACCTTGTGACTTCCAGTCCTTAGGGCTTCCTCTTAACAGATTCCTTTTCTCCCCATTTCTTGTGGATGACCCTGAACTCCATGCCATGGCCACATACAGTTCGGACATTCCTGGCCACCCTTCTATTCCCACAAGAAGGTTCACAGTCCCCATAAAGTCCTCACAGATGGATCCCCCTTTCTTTTTGGGGAGGCAGGGCAGGGAGAGAAGACCTGTGCAGTGGGCAGAGAAGTCAGTGCTGTTCTGGGTAAGGAGAGGGGACTGTGCCAGGGTGAGAGGCACAGCACTGCTCTCCAAGGTGGAATGGAAGATTTTCCCCTGTGCTGTGTGTCCCCAACTCTCCTTTCTTCCCAGACAGAGCGGCACAGCCCTGTCCTGCTCTCCCTGCTCTGCTCCCAGCTGAGGGTGAAGCCAGAGCAGATCGTGGAGCTGGAACTCTGCCTAGCGGATACGCAGCCAGCGGTGAGTAGGAGCCTCCCACTGCCTGCACGCAGCATGCTTGCAGGCTGGTGTGCACAGGTCCTGTGCACACAGGACACTTCCTCTGCATGGGGGGTGCCAGGGCTGGGAGCTGAGGGGACTGAGAAAATACAGCCCCTGAGAGGGCAGAAGTGAGGGGAGCAGGATGAGGACTCAGTGATGGGTACCTTCAGTGACCCAAAGTCAGTGCCCTGCTGCTCATTTCTCTCTGCCTGCAGACGCTGGGTGGTGCCTTTGATGAGTTCATCTTCTCCCCACGCCTGGACAATCTGCACAGCTGCTACTGTGCCCTGCAGGTGAGCAGGAGGCGGAGGAGAGCCTCAGGGTCCCAGCATGGCCCTCGCGTGTCCTGCCTACCCCCAGCATGGCAATGAGTTGCCCAAGGCTCTGTGGGGTGATGTGTTCCTATGAGGTAGGTCTATTTGTCAGAGGATGAAGAGTTGGGTGGGTGCTGCCCCAATCCTGGGCGTGTGGGAGTCCCAGCAGCTCCTGTGGGTGGCTGTTGCTCTTGCTGGACAGTGTGCACGTTGTCCGCCCATGACTCCCTCTCGTGGTGCCCTGGGCTCTCCTGGGGGAAAGCCCCGTCTGCATTAAGAGCTGTGTGTGATCCCATCCTTCCTGGGAGGGATGGCAGCTCCGGCTGACACCCCGTCCCCTCCTCTGCCGCTGCAGGCCTTGATTGACTCGTGCATGGCCCCCTCCTCCCTCGCCCAGGAGCCCAATGTCCGACTCATCGCGCTCTATGACAATGAGGAGGTGAGTGAGGGGCACTGCAGGCGGTGGCTGGCACGGGCAGGGTGCCTGTGTTCTTTGCTGGCCCTGGCAGCATGTAGGAGAAGATGGATCCCGCCAGGGCGAGAAGTGATTTGCTCACCCCATTGCGAAGCGTGACCCATTGAAACATCCATGCTGCATGTGAAGCATGGAGCGTTTTGGGGAGGCTCCACTCCATGAGGAGGCTTCTGTACTGGCCATGGAGCGCCCAGCCTTGGAGCTGGTGCCGGGCTGGGCTGCAGCTGCCCTGTGTAGGTCATGCTCGTGATACTCCCCGGCAGGTAGGGTCGGAGAGCGCGCAGGGCGCAGAGTCCCTGCTCACGGAGCTGGTGCTGCGCCGCATCTCAACAACGCCTCAAAACCTGACAGCCTTCGAGGAAGCCATGGCCAAGTCCTACATGATCAGCGCGGATATGGCCCACGCCGTGCACCCTAACTATGTGTGAGTCATCCGAGTGCCACCCCGAGTCGGGCATGCTCGCCCTGCTGCAGGTGGGGACGCATCCCTGTCACTGCCCAAGGAGCAGAGGCAGCGGAGTCTTTGCTCTGGTGGGGAGAGAGGGGCTAGGCCTGAAACTCCTGTTTCTCTTTTGCAGAGACAAACACGAGGAAAATCATCGTCCGGCCTTCCATAAGGTGAGGGCAGCCCTCTACTCTCTGCCAGTCCAGGAACCCTCCATCTGTCCTGCAGCAGTGTGAAGTGCACAGTTCTGGGGCTGGATTCAGTAGCATTTGAGCAGGACCTCCAGGAGTTTGTCCTGGAGTCCTTCCTTGAGCTCGCCCTAGCTCTGGGCCTGGCTTATTCCCCAAGGGAGACCTGACTCTTGCAAGACCCCCATTCTCACAGATCACCCAGGGAAGAGAGAACTAACTGGTGGGTTGAGGTGGGATGACATTTCTGCCAGAATTGCTGTGGGCCCCTCCGTTGGCACTGCCAGACCATCATTGTACCCAGCAGCCCAGTCGTGGGTCTCACAGTGCCTCCCTTGCACAGGGCCCCGTGATCAAAGTGAACAGCAACCAGCGCTACGCCTCCACGGCCGTCACCGAGGCAGTGATCCGGGACATCGCCGCCCGTGTGGGTGTTCCTCTGCAGGTGAGCGGGCAGCAAGGAGCACCCTTCTGGGGCAGATGTCACCAGCTCGCACCATGCCCTTGCACCTGGGCAGAGGGGGAGCCTCCTGCCCTGGAGTCTCCAGCTGCAGGGATTTTGGGAGTGGGCTCAGGAACAGAAGGAAGGATGGGCTTACACTGAGTGCGTCCTGTCCCTGGGCCAAGGGGGCTGTGCTGCTTCCCTGTCGCAGCTCATGTCCCTTCAGCGGCTCCTGGCGAGAAGGCACCCTGAGGCGCTGCTCACGCTGTGTCCCCCCACCACAGGAGTTCATGGTGCGGAACGACACGCCGTGTGGCACCACCATAGGCCCCATCCTGGCGTCCCGCCTGGGGCTGCGCGTGCTGGACCTGGGCTGCCCACAGCTGGCCATGCACTCCATCCGGGAGATGTGCTGCACCTCGGGAGTGCTGCAGAGCATCGCCCTCTTCAAGGTGAGCCCTCTGCTGTGCTGCCCCTGCACTGCCCTGTCCCAGTGTGACCCATGCCCCTGCAGCTCCCTTTTCTGGGGTTCACCCCGTGCTCCTGCAGCCCCGCTGGGCTCCCCACCCCGCTGCAGGGGAAGGAGAGTGCCATCTGCTTCTGTGTGTACCCCCTTGTATCCCCCCTCGTGTATCCTGGCCTTCCCTGATACCTCTGTCCCCAAATGGTTCCCATGGCAACTGGTGCTAGCCTTGACTCAGTGCTGGGTTTCCATGGCGACGCAGCGCTGCTCTGCGCGTAGCTGCGGCCATGACGTGGCACGCGCAGCCCCGCAGGGAGCCGCCGCGCGCGCCCCCGGCACCGCCCACCCACCCTGCTGCCCCCTCTCGTTTCAGGGCTTCTTCGAGCTCCTGCCGGAGGTCAGCAGCAACCTGGTGGTCGACTGAGCACAGCGGGGCGCGAGTGGCCGCAGGGGCCGGGCTTGGGTGCAGAACGATTAAAGCA